CGGGGGCGTCTCTGTGACGTCATATGAGGAATAGATATGAGGGCCAATGCAGAATTCATCTACATTTCTGGGGGTAAATTATCTTGTTTACAGGTTTGTATAAACCTGAAATCGTGACAACTGTTGTGGAAAATGAAAGCTATATGTTCTCACAATCTACAGTCATATAATTTTGTCTCCTGCTTTGCCTAGTTTGCGAGTTACAACTTGTTTTCATAGACGATTCTGTCAAAATCGCTTGGTGTCGTTAGGCCTTATATAATGACTGATCCAAATTGATTCCATTTCTGTGTTTTTTTTACCTCGATATTTGATAATGTCATGTAAAACTATGACGTCTACTATGTATGATATTAAAAATTGGCATTTGATTTATTTGAATCGGTAAACTAAACAACCCTATTTTGCCATTGCTAGAAGAATCTGAAATTTTACTTAGGTAAATAGGTACATACAGTTTTAACACACAGAAAATGCTTACATGCATTACATGTATTTCTTATGCAACAATGAAGTTCTGTTTGTATTCTCAAAACAGTGTCGGCCTATAAGTTTTCACATGCAATACAGCAATTAATACTCCCTCATTGTAACCCGTGTTAGGTGGTATAAACCTACACATGTTATTTGTCATCATTCACTTGATGGTCAGTTAATGAATTTATAACAGGTATAATTAGTGGTAACACCACTTAGATTACCCGACAAAGGTTCCCATTTGGCATTTCTTGTGTCTGGAGTAAATATTCAACATTATAAACATCGATCAAAGGATTAACCGATAGCATGCTGGTTGATTAATTACTTTTATCTTACACAGGGAATTGTCAAAAGGTAGTGTTTATGTATGTAGATTTACTAATCTATACTGAATACACTCTGTCGTGTCTGTGTCTCCGTAAAAACAACGTCCTTCCTTCAAAGGATTAACCGCCAATACATTGATTGATTGCTTATTATTGGCTAACTAAATAACCGTTTTTAAGAATGGCGGACATTATGCAATCAGTTGCCAGGTGTGCTATCTTGGGTGACCAATGAGACTATACACCAATGTGACATACCTGAAACGATATATCACTTTTTCGTATATTAGACTGTTTAAAGACACATCACTTGGAAGAGCTGCAGATGAATGGCATATCACTCGTTTTTGTGGATATTGATGGATACATTCCTCGAACAAGGTAATAGCCTGACATTGTTCCTATAAATTTAATCTGTTTTAATTTTAATATTTGCATTTTGTTTTTATTCATTTGTCGTAGCATTAAACAGAATCGTTGTTTTCAACGTGAAGTGTAATGAGACATACACTAGGGCATGTGTGCGAATTATGATTCACATTGGCAAACTATAATATGTCTAGATATTACAGTCCTGTTATAAATGCACTATAAGTATCAGCAGATCGTCTGCTTTTTATTTAGTTTCAAAATGCATACAAGTATGATAATAAACTAATTAGGATTATAAGACCAAATATAAAGACGTACATTGACTAGTATCTACATACTGGTGAGTGGACGTTAACCACATGAATGTAGCAAGAAATTTATCGCGCAGTATTGTCACTTCGACCTCCCACCTCGCTTCCATGGAAGAAATCGTTATGTTATAAGTTGTGTCACGCAAAATGCTTTTGGTTATGATTCAAATACATATTTAACTACGAGTAGAAAGTAGTTTTGATCTTCTAACTTGATGAAAACAAACCATCATCTCATTAATTCTAACAGACTTTAGCCCGTGACTTCATTTTCAAAAATGGCGGGGCCCTGTCGCGAAAATCCGCCAGTCTGAGTATATATGCTATTTAAGTTTGTTTTCACAGAGTTACAAAATCAAAACTACTTTCTACTGGTAGTAAAATATGTATTTGATTGATGGCCAATAGGATTTTGCATGACATACTAGTAGGGTATAACATAACAATTTCTCTCGTGGAAGCGAGGTGGGTGTCAATATAATACTACTTACAGTATTATTGTTACTTCGACCACAACCATGCTTCTGAGGAAGAAATCGTTATGTTACAAGTTGTGTCATGGAAAATCTTTATGGTCATCAATCATATACATATTTTATTACAACTAGTAAGTAGTTTTGATTCTTTAACTTCCGTGAAGCGATCTGAACACAAGTAAGATATCGTTTCAGGCTTCCACAACGGTCGCTTCGTACTCACAAACATAACCCATTAAGCACCAACTGCGGGGTCCTGTTGAAATCTGTGCATGGTGACACCATCGCCCGACCCCTAGGAGCAATTGACGACAACGCAACGATTCGGCATGTCTTCGTTGATGTCGAGAAATCATCAAAATGACGAGCTTGCTACACACTTTCTATACAACTAACTGAAAATCCTTCCTCATATGATGTCACTGCAGTGCTCTGGCGACAGAGTTACGTAACCTGTCTGTGGTTTCGTTGGCGGGTGAGAGTGAAGCAGGCGACATTTTGGCAACTTTTAATCGCTCGGTACTAATTAACTACAAGTTTTTAAAGAATGAATTTGGTGTTCCACATAAGACTGACCACAAATCTTTCATATGTAATAGTTAAAAGAGTTATAAAAAAACAAAGTTTATTTGTTCTTTAATCTTAAGTGTTTATGGATTTTAACTTCTTTTATGATTGTTCTGTCCATGAGTAGGAGACCGCCTCCGTGGTGTAGTGATCAGAGTGTCCGCCCGGTTGGCATTAATGGGTACAACAAGGACTGGTCGGCTTTGAGTCAGTATATTGTGTCTGAGTGGGGTATTCATGCTTCACTGCGGCATGGTATCTCAGTGGGCTAGCACTATAAAATCAGCTTCAGTCTGGGCTAGTACAAGCAGCCGCACCTACACCTACACACGCATGCACGTCGTCCTATGAGCAAAATATTCTCCAGCGCGACGTTAAACCCAGTTTCACCTCACCTCACCATGAGTAAGTTCGGTGTTAGAGACTTTTTTGCTTTACGTGAGAACTGAGAAGTTTTGGTTTTATTTGGGTGAAATGTAACCTGCCACTTACAGGCCCATTGTGATATTTTAATTAGATTGTTGTTAAGACAGGTAGCAGCAACTGATGGATCTTCTATGATAACATATAATGAAGTGTCATCCGCAAAGAGATGAATATTACTGTCAATATCACATATATCATTAATGTATATTAGAAAAAGAAGTGGTCCAAGGGCTGAGCCCTGAGGTACTCTAGCTAGTTTTCTTGTCTGCCCATTAATTGCTACCCGTTGTACTCTATTTTCCAAATAACTTTCAAACCATTTTAAAAGTTTTCAGTTAATAAATAATTCCTCTATGCCAGTTAATCTTTTGATGGATGTTTTTTGCAGCTCCAGGGACCATTCTTCTCTAACTGCACTCTTACGTACATATTACATAACATGTAATACAATCACCACATCAGACCTGGATTTATAAGCCAAGCTTAGATTAAAATATAGCTGCAAGCAGCAATATCTGCCTCCACGGTCCTTTTTGGCTTTATCCCCCAAAGTACTAGATTAGCCATCAAGGACTTCCTGAATTTGCCTTTTTTACTTTTTTACCAGTTTTGCAATCCAAAGATTATTGTTTCAATAGTCAGAAATACTTGTGCCGTGGTACAACAGGGAATCTGTAAAAAAGAAGCGAAAAACCTTTTATCACATCCAATAGAATTCTCTAGCAGAGTCAGTTGTACAATTCCGACCAGACATTCCAGTGACAGACCATTTGATATTGTTCCAGAGCATGTGTCTATAAATCACTATCAAATAGTGTACTCTGGTTTGGACAATGACACTTGTGGTTTTGGAAACAGATGCTGACATTATTAGAACTTCTAAGAAAAGTATGACGGCAGTATGTTTCATTGCAACTTAGTCACTTGTATTAAATGATTGAGATCGTCCAAAACAGAGCCCGAACATGTTTTTGACACACAAGTGGCTTGCTGAAATACAGCTGGGATCGCGACCACAGTTACCCCCCTTAAATTTTACCATGACCCGGAAGGGAAAATAGGAGAATATAGTGACTTGTATAAATGGGCTGTTCTGAGTTTTTGGTGCAATCAACTTCAGCACTATGGGCACCTTGGTGATTATTTGCAAGCAATTCTGAGCACTGGTTTAGGAGCCATGTTTGGTACAAAATACAGCAGAATAATAAATAAAAATAATCTGAACGATAACAATAAGTCTCCCTGCCTGGAGGCATGGAGCCATAATAATTAAACCAGATAGAAGAAATGCCAAATCCAAACCACTGATATATTTTTTATCTTTGACATCCTCAGAGGCAAGGGTCATCTTTACTGAGTTATTTTGCATAGTATTTGTCAGTTAATCAGAGTGTTTTCCACCACTAACTAATACTTCAAATAATGTCATTTACTGAGTATCAAGTGAATGAAAACAAAAACAGGTGTGGCTTATACATAAAACATGGATGACAAGGAGGGAGTAGTAATTGTTGTATTGTATCCAATGTGCTTGGAAAATAAGAGTTGTTATTGTTTTGAGGTTTATTAACTGACATTCGTTGTTGCAAAAATAACATGTACACATAAAAGTTTTATACTGCTCCATACTTGTACATTTACATTTACAGAAGCATACAATTTCACATGCTAAAATGTTTCAATAAGCATCATCTGTGAGAATTCAAGGGTTTCCTTTGTTTGTTAACAAGGGCCTGCCTTACTGGTTTGAAACCCAGTTTGTTGAGTTGTCAGAATTATATTTGCATCTGGTAATTATGCAGGATGATAATAAAAAAGACCACTGAGACTTGGAGTGTTGTTTCTCGTTATGTGTTGTTTTTATCATTTTCTTGCTGCTGTCGTCAACATATCAAGAGGTGGCTACACACCAGTGGCAGGGTGTTTTGAGCACTGAATTAATTCATTTGCAGATTATTTTCAGCCATAAAGACATAAATGAAGCATTTCCCTATCTCTTTGTGCAGCATTATCTTACTGTTGCACTATGTCTATGTTTGCAGGGTATCCAGTTAGGACCTACAGAGGCATCCCGGTATTGGGTGTATTGGGTGCCAGCACAGTTTGTGGAAGCCATCAAAGATGCAGTGTTGGGGAAGTGGCAGTACTTTTAGCATAGAAGATAAGGCATGTCTCACCACAAACTTGCATCAGATGTGCTTGGTCATCATGCATAGCATGGTGTGTGTTACTTGAACACTATCAACTATTTCTGGCAATCTGTGTTATCTGAATTTTTGATGAAGGATATGTTTCTGCTAATAAAAGCCTATGTATACATTTTTGTTTTTCTGTGAATAGATAAGTCTCACAATGCACTTAAAACCCATTTGACAGTGTGTCACTTGCTGCGCATATGTAGACAAATTTATTCCACAGCATGTGAAAGGAGCCTGACCCATGGCTGGTGATAAATTGCATTGTGATGACTTTGAATTCTTGTACATCCTGTGTACCAATAAAAGAAAATATTCCCTTTTGACTACCATTCACAATGGTTCTTGCTTACGTAAAAGAATCAGATGCAGGTCTTCACTTAACTACTTCAGAGAGGTAGAAAAGCTAAAAATTGTCCACTCCAATAGCAACGCATGGGTCAACTACAAAGTTAAATAGGTAAGAGGGTTTGTTCTGAGAAATCGAGATTGATAATTGCAACCGTGTTCCTTGAGGGAAATGAGCAGCTTGGAAGAGAAAGACCTGGTTATCCTGCACAGCCAACATGAAGTGATCAAGATTTCCCTGGCAAGACCCTGAGGAATACTTCAGTAGGTAAGATTCTTGCAATTGTGTAGTTTGTTCCAACAAAAGCAAAAAACGCACTGAAGACCACCTTCATTTGTAAGAGTTGGATTTACCATTCATGATAGAATAAAGTGATATCCATTTCTCCATGATTATCTTATAAGTATAGCCAACAAGATTTCTGTATTTAAGCCCATATAGCCAACAGGATTTCTGTATTTAAGCCCATATAGCCAACAGGATTTCTGTATTTAAGCCCATATAGCCAACAGGATTTATGTATTTAAGCCCATATAGCCAACAGGATTTATGTATTTAAGCCCATATAGCCAACAGGATTTATGTATTTAAGCCCAGTGGTAATTAAAGGGGCGCTGATACAGAGCAATATATGTTTTGGACCAACAGTCTTAATTATGTTGACCAGCTGCCAGGTGGTTAGTCCCTGCTCCCTCGAACGTGACGAACACTGGGACTGAGCAGCTGTCAGAATTTCTTCAACCTATACAATGAGACAATAAGAATGGTGGATGCCCATCAGATGCCCCGATAGTTCTAGTCTGACTGTAATAGAATATCCCAGCAGTGTAAGCTTTTTTGGCTTTTCTGACGCATGGATGGTATGGGGACTGATCCACGTCGATCCTATTTCTGTGTTTCTTACCTTGACATTTTATCATGTCATGTAACAATATTATGTCCATTGACCTATGATATTAAAAACGCACATTTGATTTATTTGAATCTGTAAAGTAAATCAACCCCGCTTTGCCACTGCTAGAAAAATCTAAAAATTTGCTTAGGAGGTATATAAAGTTGTTAACTTTAGTACACAGCAAATGCTTACCAGTATATTATTTCTTATGCAACAATGAAGTTCCAATTCATATCCTCAAAACAACTTTTTTTAGGCAATTACAATTGCATACTATTACTACACCCTTGTTGTAAAAAACATGTTTGGTGGTATAAACCTGCACCAGTTTAATTGTCATCATTCACTTGAAGGTCAGTTATTGAATATATAACGAGTACAATTAGTGGTAACCCCACTCAGATAACAATTCAAAGGGTCCCATTTAGCATTTCTCATGTCATTATAAATTAAGGTCTGATGTGGCAAATATAATATGTTATGAGCATGGATGTGCAGCAAGAGGAATTATCATCTGTTAAAAAAACCCAAAAACATCAATCAAAGGATAAACCAATAACACACTGATTGATCAATAACTCTATTATCTTGTACAGCGGATTTGTCAAAAGGTAGTGTTTATGTATGTAAATTTACTAACATACTGAATACACATACATTCTATTATACTGTGCACCCGTGAAGGTCCGGGTTAGAATGAACCTTCAAGTGAATGTTGTCCTGGATCTTTGTACAGATGTAAAATTACACAGAAATGTAGAATATTACATTTCCTATCTGATGGTATAGATTCAAGTTCAAATACTTAAGCTGTTTAAAAAATACGAACTGCTAAATGCTGTTCAAAATTTTGTTGTGCATTAAAAAACAGTTAATTTCTCTAATTTTTATCGGTGACTAACGGGATCGGGTGGTCAGGCTCGCTGACTTCGTTGACACATGTCATTGGTTCCCAATTGTGCAGATCGATGCTCATGCTGTTGATCACTGGATTGTCTGGTCCAGATTCGATTATTTACAGACCGCTGCCATATAGCTGGAATATTGCTGAGTGCGGCGTCAAACTAAACTCACTCACTCACTATTGTACTGTGACCATGTAAAAGAAGAGTAATTTCTTCACAGGATTAACCGACAATATGTTGATTGATTGCACATTGTTGTCTAGCTAAATTATTTTTTTGAAGAATGGTGGACACCATGTAAATAGTTGTCAGGTGTGCTATCTTGGGTGGCCAAAGAGACTGTATACCACTGTGAAAACCCTGAAACAAAGTCACATGACCAGTTGAGAAACAAGATCACATGTCACTCTATCATGTTGTCCCTATTGTGACGTCATAATATATATGTAATGACGTCATACTGTAACTGCTACAATCTCCCTGAAGAGTAAAAAACAAAACATGTTGGAGAAAAAGGCATTCTGTTTTATTTATCTATGTAATATTTATGATATAATTCACTTAGTCTTAGGCAATCTATAAAATGTCTAGATATTAAAGTCATATTTTATATTCACTAAAAACAGTGTGTACAAAAAAGTATCAAGTTTGAAAGTGCATAAACATTTGATAATAAATGAATTATGCTAGGATTATAAGGCAAAAATATACCGAAAGGCAAAGAAAGTCGTAATATTGGAAATGACCTTTAAGTATCAATGGAGTATTTGAACCTATTTTTTTTTAAATATACACCGGAAGTCAAGTTTGAGGAAAACATAAATCTTGAATGTATTGCCCAATAAAGTATTGTTTGAGATTGAGGTTTGAATTGTTTTTGTTTGTGGAAAGGGAAAAGTTCGCACAAACACAACATTGAAATCGAGATGCATGTGCATCGTGCATGCATTTATGCATAAAGTGCCGGCTTGAATGGCAATCGTTCACTTGTTATTCCCCGCCACTCGAAGCGGGGGATATAGTATTAGGCTCCGTCTGTACGTACGAATTGGAATATCTTAAGAACCGTTGACTGGATTCTTTTCATATTTGGTACCTAGGTTCATCACAGTAAAAAGAAGGTGCCAGTCAGGTTTGGTGACCTTGACCTTCATTTCAAGGTCACAAGGGGACTTTAACGTTTTACGTGCACGTTAAGCTATCTCAAGAACCATTCACTGGTTTTCTTCATATTAAGTACCAAGCTTTATCTAGGGAAGGCGCAGGGCCCAGTCGATTTTGGTGACCTTCACATAATTTTCAAGGTCATGGCGACACTTTGAATATTTCAGCATGTAAACCTGCATGTTAAGCTGCATGTTAAGCTATCTCAAGAACCCTTCACTGGATTTTGTTCATATTTAATACCAAGCTTTATCTAGGGAAGGCGCAGGGCCCAGTCAATTTTGGTTACCTTCACATAATTTTCACTGTCATGGCGACACTTTGAAAATGTCAGCATGTAAACCTGCATGTTAAGCTACCTCAAGAACCGTTCACTGGATTTTCTTCATATTTAACACCAAGCCTTATCTAGGGAAGGAGCAGGGCCCATTCAATTTTGGTGACCTTCACTTAATTTTCAAGGCCACAGAAACACTTTGAAGATTTCAGCATATTAACCTACATGTTATGCTTGTCAGCGCAATACCTCAAGAGCCATTCACTGGAGTTTCTTCTTATTTGACACCAAGCTTCATCCAGGGAAGGCGCAGGGCTCAGTCGATTTTGGTGACCTTCACTTAATTTTCAAGGTCACAGAGACACTTTGAAGATTTCAGCATGTTAAATTGCATGTTAAGATAGTCATCAAGATATCGCAAAAACTATTCAGTGGATTTTCTTCATATTTGTCACCAAGCTTCATCTAGGGAAGGCCCAGGGCCCAGTCAATTTTGGTGACCTTCACATAATTTTAAGGGTCACGACGACACTTTGAAGATTTCAGCATGTTAACCTGAATTGTCAGCAAGATATTTTAAGAACGGTTCACTGGATTTTCTTCATAGACGTTCAAAACCTCCCTTGAATGTTTTTCAATAAGCAATTTCTTTAGTACTAGTTTTGCATATTTCATACACTATGACATTCATGTCAAGGTCAAAGTCATTGTTGAAAATATGTGTGTGTTTGAACAACTAAACAGCAAGGTATCAAGAGAGGTTGACTGGTCATGTTTTTGTTGACATTTAAATTCATCTTAAACTTTCATTACTTTATAAGTTTGATTTGATAATTTGCGGCGGGGGATTATGTCACCTTAGTGACAATGCTTGTTTTCTGAACACAGCAGCTATGGCTAGGTAACGAGAGGTGTTGATGGACCATATGACAGTCCTGGCGACGTGTTGTTACACGAGGTCGACCACTATGTGGACGGTCGTCAGTGCTGTTGGTGGCGTATCGCTGTCTAAGACGTTCTATCGTTCGTACGCTGCAATTGAAGTCATTAGCAATGACTCGAGCATGTTGACCAGCGTCTAGACATCCAATGGCTTGTTGTCGTTGATCTCTCGTTCACCTAGCCATAGCTGCTGTGTTCAGAAAACAAGTGAACGATTGCCATTCATATTTCAGTAGATTATACTTTCGTGCAGTACTTAACAGAGTGTTGCAAATACTGCATGAATAAATATATAAATGAACAGTGAGTGATAACAATACACAGAACAGCGTTTTCATTGATGAATTACAAGTGTTGTAACATAATCTTCCAATTAATAATAGTCTACACTTGTCAATGTATCCAACCATTTTCAAGAGACCTACATTGGCACATACAGAATCTGTTGACATGTGTCTGTTGAACCCTTCAATGTATGTGTCTGCTGAACCTTTGAATGCATTGAGCAAACTATCACTGGGTATTTTCCACCAAATCAATGTCTTTACCATATGGTTTCACAGCCACAGAAACTTTAAGGTAGAACCATTCT